TCCATGTACAGCAGTACTTGCACCCGTTAGCTGCGCCCCTGGCGATGCCGTCCGACGGCTACGACAACCTCGGCCGCCCCTGGGAAGGCGGACGACGACGACGACGCGGGGGGGGGCTGGAGCTGGTGCTGGCGCCCCTGAGGGCGTCTGCGTGCAGGAGCGGGCGCCGGGGCCAGAGCTGGAGCTGGAGCATGTCTCTGGGTCGGCGCCGGGATCGGGACAATAGCAGCAGCAGCGGCGCCACTCACCTCAGCAGTAAGTGCTGCAACAGCAGGAGTAGCAACAGCCGCCCAGTCCGCTGGCGGGCTCCCCTCCTGTCCCCTCTGCAGCCAGTGCACAATTGCCGCAGGTGCAGCGACGGCAGCAGCACTCACCCGTACTCCTCACTCCTGTCCGCGCCCCTGGGAGGTCCGAACGCCACCAGGTGCATACCTGGCGCAGCAGCAGCGGCAGCAATCTCCGCACCTGGCGCAACAGCTTCAGCAACTGCCCCTGGTACCCCCCTGGTGCAGCAGAAGCCACCCCCGACCCTGCAGCTGCAGCAGCCTCCCCTGGAGGGCGGGCAACATTCACGGAGGCATCATTCCTGGCCCTCCAGGCTCATCGCAAGTCGTTCAGACCGCTCCAGCGGCTACGCCTTCAGCTCGCTCTCGACGCGGTCAGCGGGGCCAACGCCACGTCGCTGACAGCGCCCTCGGCCCTACGAGGGCGTCGAAGGCCACCATGCTCGCCCCCCCCACACCGCGGCCTCGAGCGCTGGCACATCCCTCATTGCGGCCTGCTTGGCGGCCGCTCGCGGGTTCAACCGCAGCACGTCGGTGGCTGCGCCCATTGCTACACGCACGGTGTGTCGTCATACTGTGCCACGTTCTTCGCCGCAGTCGCACAGCTCGCCGACAGCAAGCACTACACCAGCGGCCACCACAGGCCCGTGCTGCACAACCTGCTCGAGCACGGGCGCAACCAGAGGCGCCGCTGCTCCAACGGCACGTCGCCGTCTTCGGCCTCGGCCTTGCTCACGGCGTCGTCGTCCACCACAGGTTCGCTCAGCACCACGGCTTTCAGCACTGGCCCCCTCCCTGGGCATGGAGGTTCCATGGGGATTCCCTGTTAGCCAGTCGTGCCGTGCCAAATGCTCCAGGTCGCCTCCCAGCAACGCTGAGGCCCCGCCGTGCAATCCCCCCTGGGCTTGCTGTTTGCTCACCCTGCTTGTCCTCGCCACACCAACACTGCAGCCTCACCGTGGGGCGGTTGCCGCCCCCTCCCACAGGGCCCCACCTCTGCTCGAGGTAACTCCTGTACCCCCAGGGGCCCGCAGGGGGCCCGCGCTCGGCTGAGCACGCTTGGGCGCGGCCACCCCCACTCTCGCCTGGGACCCGTCGCGTCACCGACGGTCGAGGGCCCCCCCCGTCAGCCTCCCAGCCTCTCCGCTGCCCTACTTCAGGGCACCCCTCCCGGCGCACTCCGCGCCCCCCCTGCTGCTACTGCAGCCTGGCGCTCGCGCATAATACTGCAGGGTGTTCCTCCTCGATGCCGTGGCCTCGGTGGCGCGCTCCCTGCCGCACTGCTTCCTTGCTCCTGCTTTTCCCACCTGGGCCGCCGCCGCCTCGGCACAGAAGGGTGGCCCTTCCCCTCCCGCTGCCGCGGTTTGCCGCCACGGCGAGCTGCCCTTGGTCGAGACGCGCCGCTGCTCGGCACAAACGAGCGCCCCTGGGTCCCCTCTCTTCGGCTTGCCCGCCTTGCCACCCTTGGCTTCGCCCCGCTGCCCTCCTCCCCCCTGCTCCCCGAGCGGGTTCCGACACTTCAGTCGTCTTGCCGGTTTTGGCGATCCGGACTCCTGTCCGTCGAGCGCCTGCATGCATGCTGGCCTTTCCACTGGTGCCGACGCGCGGCTGGCTGCCTTCAGTCTGCTTACGACGTGCTTGTCCCACGGCGCGAACTGCTGTTCGGTCGTCGCCGCTCGCTCGTTCCGCCGCCACCCACAGTGGCTGCTTCCGACGCTCACCTTGCAGGGATGCGTAGCCCTTGCCGCGCTCAGCCCCCCGTGTGCTGCCCTTCGGACAGGCGCAGGCGCTTGCGGCTTCCGCTATCTCCCGCGGGGTTGCCCCACGCCGCAGTCACCACGGGACACCGCACTGCCAGCTAATAGCCCGCCACTTTGGCGTGCACCCCCCCGGCGGTTGCTAGCTGCCGATGGCACCCCCTCCGTGAGCGCCGCGCAGCCCGCCCCGGCTAGTCACTCCTCCCTATGCTCTCTTGCTGTCTCTCTCTCTCTCTCTCTTTTTGTTTGTTTGTTTGTTTTGTCTTTTCTCTCTCTCTCTCGCTCTCTCTCTCTCTCTCTCTCTCTCCTGGTGCAATGTGGGGTCCTGCTTGTTAGCTGAAGCTTTGGACGACGCGCGGCCCTTCCGTTTTCGCTCGCGAACAAAACATCCCCGTTGTCCTTCAGCAGAGAATCCCATACGATTTGCCTTGGTCAGTGATGTGGAGTAGAACGCAGAGGAATACAGGGTTGGGTAGGGCGTCGTACCCCAAGAGGGAGCGGATGGAGGAGAAATCGGAGGTGGAGCAGGAGGAGGAAGAGGAGGAGAAGGAGGAGGAGGAGGAACAGGAAGAGGGGGAGGGGAGCAGGGACGAGGAAGGAGGAGGAAGAACACGCAGATGAAGACGTGGAGGGTGACGAGGAGGAGGGCGAGCAGAAGAAACCAGAGGCCTCTTGGATGCCTCGCGGAGCCTCTTCGGGTTTCGTTTGAAAGTTTCTTGGGGTTCTCTTGGGGCGTCTTGGGTGTCTTTTGACGGTCCTGGATGCCTCTGGCGGCGCCTTGGGTGCCTCAGGGGCGCTCTTGGCGCTTTTTGGGGTGTTTTGGGAGGCCGCCTGGGGGCACCATTGGGGGCCTCGGGGGCCTTCTTGGGACCATCTTGGGAGAGATCTATCAAACGAGGGGGGCTCCTTACTCGCCCCCCCCCCCCAGGAGGCCCAAATGCCGAAACCTTAGAACAATCCATGATTTGGGCCTTTTCACCGAGGCCTCTTGAGGCGTCTTGGGTGCCTCCGAGGGGCCTCTCAAGGCTCCTGTGGGATCTTGGGGGCCTCTTGGGGGCATCTTTCGGAGCCTTTTGGGGGCCTCTTGGGTCCTCCTGGGCACCCCTTTCGGGCCCTCTTGGGGCACCTTGGAAGCCTCGGGGGCCATCACAGGGGGGCCATCATGGAGAAGATCGATCGAAGGAGGGGGGTCCTGAATCAGGGTACGCCCCCCCCACCCCCACCCTCCCCCGAGGGCATCATGTGGCCGAAGCTATGGTCACATCAATGATTGTCGCATTCTCGCCGAGACCTCTTGGGGCGTCTTGGGTGCATCTGGGGGGCCTTTTTTGAGGCGTCCGGGGAGTCTCTTGGGAGCCTCCGGGGGCATTTTGGAGTCCTCTTGGGGGGCTCTTGGGGCCTGGCCCGCTTGGGGCACCCTTCGGAGCCCCGGGGGCCATGTGTGGGCCATCCTGGAGGAGATCGATCAGAGGAGGGGAGCTCCGCCATTAGGCCTCCTGCACAGGACACCGTTTCAATATCGATGGGTTTGGCTTCCGCACCGAGTCGAAACAATATGCTCCAGCGCCTCGCGACGCTCGCGACCTTCCCCCCTCCAATCGCAGGGGGAGGTGGGAGGGGTGGGGGTAAACCCCTCCCAGAGAGGGAAGAAGGGGATTTGAAGAGGAAACGCTCAAAGGCACTCACTCCAAGAGGGTTGGTGGGATCATTATTGATATGCGCGTTCGGCTCGAAGGCTCAGCCAGTTGACTGTAAGCGTGTCTTCGCCTTTTCTTCTGTCCCTCCTCCTCTCTTGTTCCTCTACTTCGTCCTTCTGTTGTCCGTGGAGGAAAGTTGTGCGGGTCCCGGTGGCGTCGCGCACACGCGAGCCTCGGGCTCCTCCTCTCGTCGCGCTCGTGTGGGACAGTTCTGCGGGTGTCTAAAGCGGTCGTCTAGACCTGCACGAGCTATGTGCCTCTTGCTTGCTCGTAGCCTCCTCCTCGTCCTCGTTACCAAGTGCTTGCAGCTGGTCAGCGTTTCTTCAGTGCACGCCGCGCGGGCGCATTGCTGTGGCGAGTCCTCGCGATCGCGCGGTCATCGCCGCCGGGTGGGTATGACGAGATGAAACATCTTCCTCCCTCCTCATCTCACCTCCCCCTCCTCTTCCTGCCTCCTCGTCCCTTCTCTCCCCTACTCGCGCGCGCTCCCCTGCGCGCGGGAGGGGGGGGAGCGAGGAGGAGGAGGAGGAGGAGGAGGAGGAGGAGGAGGAGATGGAGGAGGAGATGGAGGAGGAGATGGAGGAGGAAGAGGAGGAGGAGATGGAGGAGGAGGAGGAGGAGGAGGAGGAGGAGGAGAAAGAGGAGGAGGAGGAGGAGGAGGAGGAGGAGGAGGAGGAGGAGGAGGAAGGAGGACGAGGACGAGGATATTGGGAAGCAGGAAGGAGGAGGACCCGCGAATGGTGAGAGTCCACAGTCGCTCTTATCCCTAATTGCGACTACGTCCGCGCTCGGTTGTCCAGACGAGAAAAAGGCAGAGGTTCTTGCGCATTGTCAGACCGCGGGGGTGTTGGCCTGGGACCCTTGATTTTGCCCTGCTGACGACTGCATCGGGTGCCATTGCGTTTGCCGAACATCTTCGGCACGCGATTAGAAGGATTGATTCGGTGCGACAGTTCCGAAAAATGAAGTCAGCATTGGTTTGAGTCAGATAATCGGCCTCACCCAAGCAATTTGCACAACCACATCTTGTGTTCACAGTGCCAGGAGATGCGCGACTACGACCACCGGTGCCCCTGTCCCAGTTTTCATTATCCTGGAGACTGATGCCTGATCACCCTTTCTCGTCTGACTCCTCCACTCGAGTCCCGCTCGAGTGGCGCAGTGGGCAACGTTCGGCGGTCTGGGGAGGAGGACGACGTGGGCGAGGAGGGGCGGGCGAGAGATTTGCAGTCATACGCAAACAGCATACGCTTGGGTGGCAGGCCCGAGCAGCTCATCATGGTCCTAGGCGTGATGACCTTTATCTTGATCGTCGACGCCTCAGATGCGAACCAAGGCACTTTATGCACAGGGCTCGACGTCCGGTCTGCTCAAATCTCACCGTGCCTGGGTTGTGGTCGAGGGACTTGTTAGAGGGTAAGAGGCCTCTTCGGGTCTCCTGTGAGGCCTCTTGGAGGCATTTGGGAAGCTTTTGGGGGGCCTCTTGGAGGTCTCAGGGCGGCCCGCCACTTTGCAACCATCGGGGGGTAATTTCTGATCCCCCCTCCCAGGGGGCCTCCAAGACTGGCCAGGCATGCCCCACGTGGCCTCCAAGAGGCTTCCGAAACGACCCAAGAGCTTTCCAAGACTGCCAAGATGGCCTCAAGACGGCGCCAGAGGCCCTCCCCCCGCCTGAGGGAGCTCCAAGAGGGTTCCGGGAGGGCCCATGTGTTTTCCAGATTTTTTGTTTTGTTGTTGTTGCTGTTATTGTTATTGCTATTGTCATTGTTGTTGTTGTTGTTGTTGTTGTTGTTGTTGTTGTTGTTGTTGTTGAATATTATTACTTCTAAAGAATAATTATTGTTGGGCCCCCTGGTGCACGCCCCCCTCGCCGCGCCTAGGCCGCAGCCACATTTTCATCATTTTCGTGAGGAAGCCTCAGGTAAAACGATGTGATCCAGATCCGGTTGTTTTGTTGTAATCCGTTTTCCCTTGCAAAAAACACTATAAAATGACATTTCTTGTTCTAATATAATCAAATTTCAAGAATCCCTTGCAAAAAATAAGGTAAAGTGGACATTCGCGCGCGCAAGACGAAATCCTTCCAAAAGCTTAGTGTTCGGAGCGATTTTAACATAAAAACATCAAAAAACCAATGGTTTTTCAACAAAAAAATGTCAAAATCTCATCCCGCGCGCTCTTGCGGATTCGTAGGAAACCCAACACTTTTTAAACATTTCTGTCAAACGGGCTTTTGCGAGCAACTTTTTCGAACTTCTGCGACAACGGTTGCGCACCTGCCAGGGCCATCATCCCTGTCAAATAATACCATGCGGGACACATTCGTTTTTTCTTCGCGCGCGCACGCCGTCGTCGTCGGCCGCGGGGCCCTGAATAGTAGCCACGGTCGTCCGCATGCCACGAAGTGAAGTGTCCGAACGTCATAGGGCGGGAAGCTGGGTGTGGGTGGTGGCGAAGAGTCGTTTGGAAATTTGGTAGAGCTTGAACCGGCCCCCCCACAAAGTGGGGGTATTGCCCGCCTCCTATGAAAACCCTGGCACTGGTGAGAACGGAGTGTCCCCAGTCTTAAATGATTGTTGTTGTTGTTGTTGTTGTTGTTGCTGCTGCTGCTGCTGTTGTTGTTGTTGTTGTTGCTGTTATTGCTGAACTCTCATTTCTGAAGAAAAAACATTGTTGATCCCCCCCGTCCAGTGCACATGTTTTTTTCGATTGAACTGCCCCTCCCGGGGCGCACACCCTGTTTTTTAAAAAGAAGAGTGTTGAGGGTCAAACTGTGTTGTTGGGCCCCTGTTTACAACAAGAACGGCTCCCGCCTGGTACTTCCTCACAATTTATTGAAGAATCGCGCTCTCGCTTAGGACTTTCTTGCAATTTACCACTGGATCGCGGCTCCCGCTTGATACTTCCTCACACTGTATTGAAGAATCGCGCTCTCGCTTGGGTCTTCCTCGCAACTTACCACCGAATCGCGGCTCCCGCCAGATACTTCCTTACAATTTATTCAGATGCCGCTCCTCGACACTCAGTAATCGCGCTCCCGCTGCATATTGCCTGGCGGTTCAAGCAGAATTTACGCTTCAACGACCCGCCCGCTCGACCCGCCCGTCTGGGCCTGCCCGCCTGACCAGCCCGTTAGGGACTGCAGTCGCCGCTCGCTGCCCTTCGCCCGCCTTCGATGCCCCTCGCTGCCCGTACTGGTTCCGCGGTCGCCTTCGCTCGCTGCCCTTCGTGGCCCCGTTGTTGCCCTCAGTGGCCTCGTCGCTGCCCATTGTGGCCCCGGATTAATTGCCCTTCGTGGCCCCCGCTCGCAGTCGCCCGGCGTGGCTCCATACGCATGCCCTTTGTAGCCCCGCTGTCGCCCTTCGTGGCCCTCTCGCTGCCCTTCGAGGCCCCTTTGCTGCCCTCAGTGGCCCCGTTGTCGCCCTCTGCGGCCCGATGTACGAATGCCCTTCGTGGCCCCCGCTCGCTCGCGTCCGCCGTGGCCCCATTTGCATGCCCTTCGTGGCCCCGCTGCCGCTTTTCGTGGCCCCCTCTCTGCCCTTCGTGGCCCCGTTTCTGCCCTCAGCGGCCCCGCCGCTGCCCTCTGTGGCCCCGGATTGATTGCCCTTCGGGGCCCCCGCTCGCTTGCGCCCGTCGTGGTCCCATGCGCATGCGTTTCGTCGCCCCGCTGTCGCCCTTCGTGGCCCTCTCGCTGCCCTTCGAGGCCCACTTTCTGCGTTCAGTGGCCCCGCTGTCGCTTTTTCTGGCCCCATATATGTATGCCCTTCGTGGCCCCCGCTCGTTCGTGCCCGTCGTGGCCCCATATGCATGCCCTTCGTGGCCCCGCTGTCGCTTTTCGTGGCCCCCTCTCTGCCCTTCGTGGCCCCGTTTCTGCCCTCAGCGGCCCCGCCGCTGCCCTCTGTGGCCCCGGATTAATTGCCCCTCGTGGCCCCCGCTCGCTCGCGCCCGTCGTGGTCCCATGCGCATGCGTTTCGTCGCCCCGCTGTCGTCCTTCGTGGCCCTCTCGCTGCCCTTCGTGGCCCACTTTCTGCGTTCAGTGGCCCCGCTGTCGCCTTTTCTGGCCCCATATATGTATGCCCTTCGTGGCCCCCGCTCGTTCGCGCCCGTCGTGGCCCCATATGCATGCCCTTCGTGGCCCCGCTGTCGCTGTTCGTGGCCCCCCCTCTGCCCTTCGTGGCCCCGTTTCTGCCCTAAGCGGTTCCGTCGATGCCTTCTGCGGCCCCCTATACGTATGCCCTTCGGGGCCCCCGCTCGTTCGCGCCCGCCGTGGCCTGCGCCAACAATCGCCCTCCTTCCTTCTTGCTCCTTGCTTCTTCCTTCTTCCTCCTTCCTTCTTGCCCCTCCCCTCCCTTCCTCCGATCCCTTCGTCCTCATTCTCCGCCGTTATCTGTTACCCTTCGTTTTCAAGGGCTTCACCAACCACACGTGGCAGGGAATGAACATACCCCCCAAAAGGGGGCACGATCGAAAACGAAGAGGGCAGGTATCCAGGGTTAGGGATATGCATATTGAATGACACGCGAGCAGATACGAGCGAACAGTCTTATAATGGTTGTTGTTGTTGTCGTTGTTGTTGTTGTTGTTGTTGTTGTTGTTGTTGTTGAACATTATTTATTCTAAAGAATAATTATTGTTGGGCCCCCTGGTGCGCGCCCCCCCTGCGCCGCCTAGGCCGCAGCTACATTTTCATCATTTTCGTGAGGAAGCCTCAGAAAAGAGGGTGTGTACAGGATCCGGTTGTTTTGTTGTAATCCGCTTTCCCTTGCAAAAAACAATAGAAAATGACATTTCTTGTTCTAATATAATCAAATTTCAAGAATCCCTTGCAAAAAATAAGGTAAAGTGGACATTCGCGCGCGCAAGACGAAATCCTTCCAAAAGCTTAGTGTTCGCAGCGATTTTAACATAAAAACATCAAAAAACCAATGGTTTTTCAACAAAAAAATGTCAAAATCTCATCCCGCGCGCTCTTGCGGATTCGTAGGAAACCCAACACTTTTTAAACATTTCTGTCAAACGGGCTTTTGCGAGCAACTTTTTCGAACTTCTGCGACAACGGTTGCGCACCTGCCAGGGCCATCATCCCTGTCAAATAATACCATGCGGGACACATTCGTTTTTTCTTCGCGCGCGCACGCCGTCGTCGTCGGCCGCGGGGCCCTGAATAGTAGCCACGGTCGTCCGCATGCCACGAAGTGAAGTGTCCGAACGTCATAGGGCGGGAAGCTGGGTGTGGGTGGTGGCGAAGAGTCGTTTGGAAATTTGGTAGAGCTTGAACCGGCCCCCCCACAAAGTGGGGGTATTGCCCGCCTCCTATGAAAACCCTGGCACTGGTGAGAACGGAGTGTCCCCACGTGCTAGTAATTGTTGTTGTTGTTGTTGTTGTTGTTGTTGTTGTTGTTGTTGTTGTTGTTGTTGTTGTTGTTGTTTGTTGTCGTCGTCCCACCCGCGACTCACCCGCTACCCACCCCGCTACCCACCCGCGACCCACCCCGCGACTCACCCGCGACCCACCCGCGACCCACCCGCGACCCACCCGCGACCCACCCCGCGACCCACCCGCGACCCACCCCGCGACCCATCCGCGACCCACCCGCAACCCACCCCACAACCCGCCCGCGACCCACCCCGCGACCCACCCTCAAGGGAGGAATAACCACCCGGATCCGACAATTGACGTTCACTAAACGGCCCTGGGCGTTGACTAAACAGCCCTGCTCTGTTCGATTCATTCCTTGTGTAACCGCTTCGCTCGTCGGGGTGATGATTATAGGGTGTATTTCCTGCCCTCTACACATGCGACCCAACAGCGACCCACCCGTGACCCACCCGCGACCCACCCGCGACCCACCCCGCGACCCACCCCGCGACCTACCCACATTGGCTTAACGAAAAAATCGGCGCCTGCGGCTGGCTCGTTGTATAATTTGTCAGATTTTGGCGCCTGCGGCGGGCCTCTCCAGAGTCGCACACTGCCGACGTCCCCATCGCCCCCTCACTCTTATCCGCATCTGCGGGGGGCTGCGATATTCTTCACCCTCTTACACCCCCTATACATACGTTCCTTCTCCTCTTTCACTCTTTCCTCCTCCTGATTGCTCTTCCAGGCCACTCCCCGGCGTTTGGAGACGGCACTCGGAGACCCAAAACTAGCACCAGCAAATCCGAGTGCGCCCCTAACGTAGCCCCAGCGCAACACTAAGAGCCTCCCAAGATAATCCAGGGATCCCCCGTATGAATATTGGGTCCCACGGCCTGGGGGCCTCGGGAGTGCTCCGAATGACTCCGGCCCAAAGGTGGCTCCAAGACGG